TTTTTTTTAAGTATGCAAAAATATTGTGATACAAGTCATTGATATCACTCTGATTATCTGTTCCCTGAGAGTATTGATACAAAGAGGATGTAAATCTGTACCTTTAATTTTTTACATTATAATTGCTGTAAGAGAAATCCTGATATAGTATTAAAAGGAGTGTTGAAAAATGACATTCTGATGTGAAAAGAATGTTCTTTTAATAGTGCTATCCTAAATATTTTGCAATTCTGATCACATTTTGTTAACTTATAGAGCAAAAAAAAAGCACTTTCAAGCGTTGTAAGGGAATTATTCTCACAAAGACTTATGGTTTTTTTTTTTTTCCCTGTATCTCAAAAATTATTCTTGTATTTAACATTTTAAAGGTATTCATAGAATATACAGTAAAGGTGTTTGCAGTGGACACATTCCCTTTAAATAATTGATGATAGATATATCATATTTGTAATATTTATTTGCCAGTTCTTTGCCATGAAAGAAATTCAGTAGAACCATCTTTCTCATTTAGAAAGCACAACTTATTTTGGGAACAATATGCTACAACCTCCTTATAAAGAGCACTGTTAAAAGAAACTCTAATTATGAAAAGGTAATTTTGCTGGTCCTGCTTATTTGTATTCTATTCTTTTTTAGCCCTGATATAACAAGGTTTCGATATAAAGAGGTACAGTTAACTTTGCATTAGTCAAATCTGTTGGGATCACAAGAAATAGTTTGACTTACATATGTACGTATGCAAAATTTGACATAGGAAATGTAAATAACACATGTTTTGTATAGTTTGGTCAAAAAATTTGATTCGACTTAGGGAAAGTTTGACTTATGTGACTTCGAGTTATGCAAGGTTAACTGTAATTTCCTAGGTCCCAAGGAGTTTGTTATAATGAGGACCCACTGTACTGCGTCTGTGCCCTCGTGCAAACGGGGACGATACTATGAATACACACCTTCAAACTGGGGACGCTCGATGATCGGGGACCGTCCCCGGTTCTGATATTAGCATGAGCATGTCATTTTTAGGCCACTGGAGGGCCACTCTACTTTATTTGATGTTTGGGAGGTAGTCCCCTATTTCATGGATTTATGCGCGCAACAACACACGACGGGACACACTGGACGATCTCTGTGTGAAAGGTAGTGATCCTCGTAAGCGATTATATTAAACGACGCCATCTCTTGGCGAAATATATGCACGCGCGTGTTGCAGCTTCCGGTATTCTCACTGATCTCTGTATGAAAAGAATTTCATTCTAGCAGCTAGGCCTATACTGTGCATATAGTGTCATTGGTTTAATGGTGTTGTCTCCAGAGAAGGTTTAACTAAATGCTACATATTTACTGCATTGTATTTGCACTTATTGACATCATTTGTATTTATCAATATTCTGTTTACAAGAGACCGTTTTACATGACACAAATGGTAGGGCTAATAAATCGGTCTATAAAGCATACAGGCGGAGCATATATGTTTTCTTTTAATTTTCTGACACTTAAATCATACACTGTAAAGCACTTTTTGTTATTATTATCAAATAAGTTAAATATACCTCCCTCCTAGGTGCCATTCATTTTTGATGAGTGTCTGTTTGATTATGATAAAAAAGGCTTACCCCTTTTTCAGTTTACCTTTCCTTTTCAAAATTAATTGAGCACTTCTGATTACCTATATAATTTTGTTTCATAATTCGCTCCCACTAACTTTAGGCCTAATCAGAGTAAATATGGTTTTGCAAAAACCCAAATTGGGGACGGGGGGGGGGGGGGGGGGGGAGGACGTAAATTTTAGTTCCAACGGGGGTCACGTACCGTGCCGCGCTAAAGCCGCTAAACCTGTACCCATTTTAAGGATGTCAAAATGGGCGAAAATTTCCAGTTGAACAGTAAAATTACGAAATCATACCCCATTGTTAGTAATTTTTGTGCCCAAAACCATAGCCTGCCTCATGTTCAGAATTTTTTATTTAAAAAAGTCACCCATTATAGTGTCGACTAAGTTTAGAATATGTACGCCTGCATGATGTTAGTTCAGACTGAGACTAGAGTCATAATATCTGGCATGTCTGAAAATATAGGCTGGGGAGGGAGGCCTACCGAGTCCACAATTTTTTATAATTTGACTGCGGGATCGAAGGGGCGCCAAAATTTTGGGCTCCCACCCCGGTGGATGAATCACCTCTCGATGAACTCTGTGATGTTCCCGCCTGCGCCTCACGCTTACGATTCGTGCATGCAGGGAGCGCGGTGGGTATAACCGCGGAGCGCCAAGGTACTAGCTAGGTGACATGATGTGTAGCCGGTCATCATAAGCTAGGGTGAGTGATCTGATGTCTCCGCGTGATTATGGTATGATTTGAGCTTTTTCTGTGTCGTGTTTCCGTCTGTTATATTTAGATTGATATCTAGACTTGTAGTAGGCCTAGTACGGGAATGGGAAAGATTAGAATCTACACTCTAACTTCGATCTAGACCCTAGAGTCTACGGTAGATATGAATAGGCCTAGAAAATTTAACACAACTTCGCCTACGGCCGTGCCCCATATCCATGAGCATGGCCACCATCGCCGATCGGCTAGCAGTGCACAGCCACACAGTGGGCCAGATCGATGCCGTCAAAATTGAGCCAGGGGTGGTATTCTGAAAATTGTCGTAACTTTTCTATTATTGTAAAACAGCTGAGGAACTAACACTTCAACCAAAGAGATATATCCTCCTTGCGCTTAAACAAGCTCTGCTTCAAGATAGTTCCTCTTTTCTCATGCTTTTTTCCCCATTAGATCTAGAATCTAGGTCTAGAGTCTAGATCTAGATTTGTCGTTTCGTTGCATATTTGTTGTGATAGAGTCTATAGACTCTAGAGTCTAGAGGATATAGATCTAGATTTAGGCCTAATTATTCTTATAGGGCCTATAGACCTAGACCTACTTGTGTAGGCCTAGATAGGCACAATATGTTTGCATCAGAAATCCAAAACAAATTAGAATAGACTCTAGATCTAGATCTAGGAGTCTAGATCTAGTCTAGGTAAGACAATTTTCAGAATACTGATTTTATCTTAACACCAAAGATTAGAGATTTATTTTCAGAATCAACCCCTAGTGAGAGCCAAAGACAAAGTGCGCCAAAATAGGGATTTGGTCATTGACAAAAAAAATTGTTTTCTAGATTCTAGGTCTATGCAAAGTTTTAAAACTTGAAGGACAGCTCTGAGCAATATTTTTTCTTTAGGCCTAGATCTAAATCGATTTTAAGCTGGTCAGTTTTACTTTTTGAAAAAGACACAAATTGTTAATGCCTATTGGCTTATTGCATTGCCATTGGCCCCTTTCATGGGTATGACTATTGTAGTGTCCACTATTTTTCAACCTAGCCGTAACGTTAGGGATAAAATGTTCAAATCCAATAACAAATGTGTCGATATGTTTTACTTTTGAAAGTTGGATGTAAATCTTTTGGAAAAGTTGGTTTTGGACCTTAATCTTTTCTCATTCACTAGATCTAGATCTAGACTACATGTATGTTATTTATTGGAGATAGAGGTAAATATTTACAAAAGAGATGTGAATTCTGAAGTCAATTATTCTAGATGTAACTTTACTCAAAAGCTAGGTTTTTTTTTTTAATTCCTCTTCTAGTATCTGGGTGGTAGTATTTTGCAGACAAAAGTCCAAAAGTGGATTCACTACATGTAGATCTAGGTTATATTTTGACAGTTGGATAACTATTTTATGTCAGTTTTTGCTAAAATTTGGAATTTGACACCACAATGTTATTATTTACTAATAGAAATCTCTGTGAGAATAATTCCATCATTTAACTCTTTATAATCAAGTATAAGTAGACTGCTATTGCAAGATATCCCAAAAATTCATTTACTTAAAAATTGTGAGGATGCAGAACGTGACAAACTGATGTGAACAGACATTTTCCCCAGTAAATCCCTTCCAGCATACAGTATACATACAGGCGCATCGGAAGGGTCCCAGCTTTTTTCTTCTTTTTTTTTTTGGGGGGGGGGGGGGGAACACCATCGAGTGTAAGCTCTTGAATTTGTCATTAAGAATAAAAAGAAAGAAAACTAATAATGCTTTATTCGACCACGTTATAAATTGTTTCCCATCATTATCTTTCATTATTGGTATTGGACAAGATTACATGTATTCACTGATGGTAGCATCGGATGGCGTGGGAGGTCAGAGACCAGGCAGGGCAATGTTATGAATGACGTAAGAGCAAATTTCCGTGATGGGGCCCATGCCTTTTGCACGAAAACAACTCTTCAGTCTTAAAACTTGTCCTTTTTGAGAGAAATTCTCAAAACTGACAAACTTTGCATTAACTGTAGTCTCTTTGAGGGAGCCTAACTACTGAATAAGAGAACTTTGATTGCTTAAACATTGCATTTTAGAGCATTAAAATGCATATTTTACATGGTTGTAGTGCAATCTTAATTGGGGGGGGGGGGGGGCAAAAATCGTTGTACTGCAATTGGTCCTTCATGTGTATATATACAGTATCTCATGTCTGATCATCAACATATTTTGCTATTTTGCTATTATTTCACTGTATACATGGCTCTGCTCTGCAGTATAACATCGGCTTGATTAAGCATTACTTTCCTTCTAGACAGCTACGTTCTCAAAACTCTGGCTTACTTGTTACTCCTAGGGTTAAAACAAAGTGGGGGAGCGAACCTTCGCTCATGCTGGACCTTCATTATGGAATACTCTCCCTCAATGGATTAAGAATAGCAGTTCTGCTGAAGTGTTAAAAAACAATCTTAAGAAATATCTGTTTAATTTAGCTTTATAATTGATTACCCTAACCTTTCATGTCTGTACCTTTCCTATCGCACTTTTTATAAATGTATCATGTATGTATTTCATCTTTTGCACAAGCTGCGCCTTGAGCATTTGACTATCAAGTGGATTTGGCGCCTTATAAATCATATGTATTATTATTATTATTATTATTATTATTATTATTATTATTATATTAATCTGAATATTCTTTCATCTTCTTTACCATGATGAGCAGCTACAGTACATATGATTTTTTGGATTGTTGGTCAGTCCATATACACATTTGTAGATTGCTAAGACATCTCAAAAAGAGTAGACCTACTCCAGACTTGAACAATTTACCATATAGCATTCAGAGAGTAGATTGTAGGATGTAATAAAACAAACACTACTTTTGAGAGAGTGTTGGTCCTATTTATTTTGTCAATGACATTTATTTTTTCTTATGAATAATTTCAATAGCATAGTTGACTAATACTAGAAATTTTCATTATTTTGTTCTGTTCTTTGCTTTTCAATCAACAGGATCAACAACTGGATTTGGAACCTGTTGAGGATCAGGAAACTTTTGAAATTCAGGTTGAATCATTAATGCAAGCACTCTTAATTATCATCGTGGGATACAAGGAGGACATACTAGCCTTGAATGACGTTATAACAATGATTGTAGACCTCTTATACCAACAAGAATCCTGAAGGAGTAGGTAAAATTTCTTTGCTTTATAACAGGAACTGATTATTTTTTGATAAACGGGGGGGGGGGGGATAAAAATGAGATTTAGAGTAGCTCATTATACACGTTGTGTAAGCCTACAATCTAGTTGAGAAATATCAATCTTTCTTCACCTCAGAGGTGATTCTGGGGTGGTTTGGTCAGAAACTGAAACATTGTGAATATTAATGATTTTGTACCTTTATGATCTCCAATTCTTTTGTTGTAGGGGGGGGGGGTTCATAGAAAAGCTTTTCATAAAGACTTAAAGACTTAGAACAGAAGGATAGATTAACCATCAAACTCAGGACATGTATGAATCTCGCAGAGCCAATGAACTAATAAGATTTTAGGAACCTGAGAACTAAGATCAAAGGGTCAAACATGTATTTGAAAAATTGCTTCTGTTTTTGTTTGTAAATTTGCTCTATGGTGGTGGCATTTTTTTAACTGTGCAGTCTTGTTGATATAGACGTTGGACGATGGACATAATGAAGAAAAAAAGGTTTCTTTTTAACGTCCAAGAAAAACGTTTTTGAAATATTTTCACAAAAAAGTCCCCAAAATCTAGATGAAATTTTTTAGAATGTTTTAAAATGTCCGTGTGTTATAAATGTGGTAGATAAATGAAATACTGTGCTTGACTGTACCTTTTGCTTTTTTTCAGTAATGGCAGGAAGAGTTACAAGATCAAAAGGAAGAAAGTGTACACCAGGAAATTATGAGAAGTACCTGGGGAACAAATATGAAGACCCAGAAGGATTTGAACCAAAGTTTCTCAACTCTGAAGTTGGTATGTATTTATAGATTTTCGGTCAATACTATACTTAGAAATGAAGAACACCATTTTCCTGTGTCATATTCTCTTGATATATTATTAATTATTCTTCATGGATAGATACTTTGCTTTCTATTTTTTCTTCTTCCAAATTTACCATTCTTCAGTTTCTATAGTTCAGGCTACTGCGATGAGGCATCATCAGTGTTGTCTTTCCACCTAGACTCTACATGTACATTTATATTGTACATTAGATCTTGGTTCAAACCAATTCAGACAGAGTAAACCCCAAAAGTATTTGTATTAGTGTTCCCATGACAGTATGTAAATTTGGAGCTGAAAAGGGGAATTGTCTGTATATTAATATTTAGCTAAATGTGGGGATTATTACTACCATGGTGAGAAAGCATTTCCATACATTGCATTTCCTAACTTTGGGAAAATCAAAATCTTGGGTTGAATGAATAGATTTTGATTTAAAGTGTAACATGATGCTACATAAATTAACCTTTAAATTAAATTTAAATTTTAAATTTTTCCCCACAACCTTCTTTTTTTAATTTTAGAATGTAAGAATCTTATAGGTACATTATTACCTCACTTCTGTTTAATTTCTTGCAATATTAAATGTTGCTGCCCTATTCAGGACATGGATTATTTGCTGTTAAAGACTTCCCGAAAGGTGCATTTCTACTGGAGTACAAGGGAGAGACTATAAGTGAGCAAGAAGCTGGGAGGAGGGAATATACAAGTCACCACAGCTACCAATTTTTCTTCCAGCATGAGGGTAAAACAATGTGGTAAGAATAATATCTGTTACAAAATGTTCTTGTCCATGTAACATAGCAAAAACCCTTCTTTCGAAACTACACTCTCACAGTATTTCCGGAATGGCCCTTATGGATGGTCATCAAAGTGCTTGTAAAATTTTTAGAAAACTTCATTGTCTGCTCCGTTCATATGATACCTCAATCAAGAAAAATGAGCCAGGAATAACAAAGTTCTGTTTGTTTAAAGTAGCCCTTTCATTTTCATAATTTTAACAAACGAATTCGTTTTCACTGGGTGCCTGCCGTAGCAAAAAGCAGATTTGACAAAAGACTTAACTCCGTTTCGTTGACAATCAGCCATGCATAAAGACTCTCGTCTACGGCTGATTGTCAACGAAGCGGAGTTAAGTCTTTTGTTAATTTCGTTTATTGATACGGCAGGCAGCCAGTGAAAACGAATTTGTTTAATAAAATTATGGAAATGCAAGCACTACTTTAAACAAACAGAACTTTGTCATTCCTCGCTCATTTTTCCTGATTGAGGTGTCATATGAAAGGGCAGAAACTCAGATACCGCCCGCCAAATGTCTTTTTGGTTTCCTTCCTTCAAATTGCTTTTAATCACTCACACGTGAAATATGCATTATCTGAGTAGCATCACATGAAAGAGGAGACTCTAAGCTTTCCAAATATGTATCATTCATTAATTATAGTTGTGATTAAGTTATGATAGAACATCGATACTTCTCGGTTTCGTTTTTTCTGGGATGCACTGTATATAAAACATACTTGCATTCCAAAATTGTTTACTATTCAGTGTACTTATCGACGGGTTATAATACAATAATTGCATGTAATAGTATAACTATGGAATGTGTTTGTTGATAAAAAACAACACAACACAAAAGTACCCCCCCCCCCAGTTCAAACTAGATTAATTTTGTATAAACAAGCCCTTTTTGGTGTTGTTTACATGTAAGCGCTGTTGATGTTTATCATGGTTGAGTGAGCACGTTTTTAACTGCATGTACTGTATGAAGCATGAAATGCTAAAAATGTACTATTTAAATAATGCTCGAAAAACGACTACCCGGTATTTTCACATGTGATATGCTGACTCGTGTTGGTTGATGCCAATTCTTTCCATAAACTGAATAGATTGTGTAGATTAAAGAAAGCTGAACATTACTTTTTTCCCCCAAAAAATGGTGTCAGCCAACCGTGATAAAATAAGTGTCGGGGATACATGTAGGCGTGACGCGGTCAAACAATGGAAGAAAGCAACTTCGCCAAAGTTTGGTTTCACAGACACCCCCCCCCCCCCCAAAAAAAAAAAAAAAAATTAAATTGACTATTGTGACTTTTGAAAAGTGACATTTTTGCCTTAACCAGTAATAATTTTAATTGTTTTTGCTCAACAAATTTTGTTAAAAATTTATGCTTTTTTGGTAAGGGGGAGTTTTTTGTTGTGTTAAAAGATATATATCGATAATGATATGAAATGATTCAATTTGGAAAGCAGTATGTCATCCTAGAACTTGGGGCCAAGTATCAAACCATCAATCATTTTAGCAAATCAGGATTGTTCCGATCCGATATCAATTTGACCACACAGACATGTAGTAAGGTCTACAAAAGAAAAGAAAATCAGAATCACTCAACAAATAAAGAGGGATTTGTGATTTGCCTTAAATACCATTGTAATTGTTGACAGTCTGTCGGAACACCAAGTGTGAAATTATTCTCTTAAACAGAGAGCAGAATACTAAAGAAAGTAAGATTATTCCTGATGACAAGCAAAGAAATTACATGTAGCAACAAAATGTATAAATAAATAAATAAATGACCAATAGATGCATGGGAGAGAAAAAGAGCTAGAGATATTTAGACCTAAATTACTTTGTAGAGATACACTGTAATGTTGCATGGATGACCTCCAACTCATGATCATGATCATACTAAAATTAAAGAAAAAAGCAACATGCACAGGATGCAAGTTGTGTGTAAAGCCTAGAGGGAAATGAAGCCAGACTGGAGACCGTCCCCTTTTGCAATAAATATGCTAATCAATACACAAAAGTGGCAAACTCATGTTCAAATAAGCTTAGATTACTAATGCAGCAAGGATGGACTGGGGACCGTCCCCTTTTGCAGTAACTATGCTAGTGAATACACAAAAGCTGCAAACCCATGTTCAAATTGTGTATAAGTTAAAGAGTGCTATTAATGTACCTGAATGGGGACCGTCCCCTTTTGCAGTAACTATGCTGAATACAAAAATGCGTCCAAACTCATGTTCAAATTGTGTATAAGTTAAAGAGTGCAATTAATGTAACCTGACTGGGGACCGTCCCCTTTTGCAGTAACTATGCTAGTGAATACACAAAAGTGGCAAACTCATGTTCAAATAAGCTTATAGGTCACAATGCAGCGAAGATCGACTGGGGACCGTCCCCTTTTGCAGTAACTATGCTAGTGAATACACAAAAGCGGCAAACTCATGTTCAAATTGTGTATAAGTTAAAGAATGCTATTATATGTAACCTGACTGGGGACCGGCCGTCCCCTTTTGCAGTAACTATATGCTAGTGAATACACAAAAGCGGCAAACTCATGTTCAAATAAGCTTCGATCACAATGCAGCAAAGATGGACTGGGGACCGTCCCCTTTTGCAGTAGCTAGTGAATACACAAAAGCGGCCAACTTATGTTCAAATTGTGTATAAGTTAAAGAGTGCAATTAATGTAACCTGAATGGGGACCGTCCCCTTTTGCAGTAACTATGCTAGTGAATACACAAAAGTGGCAAACTCATGTTCAAATAAGCTTAGGTCGCAGCAAAGATGGACTGGGGACCGTCCCCTTTTGCAGTAACTATGCTAGTGAATACACAAAAGCGGCAAACTCATGTTCAAATTGTGTATAAGTTAAAGAGTGCAATTAATGTAACCTGACTGGGGACCGTCCCCTTTTGCAGTAACTATGCTAGTGAATACACAAAAGCGGCAATCTCATGTTCAAATAAGCTTAGCTCACAATGCAGCAAAGATGGACTGGGGACCGTCCCCTTTTGCAGTAACTATGCTAGTGAATACACAAAAGCGCCAAACTCATGTTCAAATTGTGTAAGCTTGAAGGGCAATAGTGTAGCTTAAAGTGCAATAACCTGACTGGGGATCGACCGTCCCCATTTGCAGTAAAGTAACTATGCTAGTGCATGAATACACAAAAGCGGCAAACTCATGTTAAAATTGTGTATATATAAGCTTAAAGTGCAATAACCAGACTGGGGACCGTCCCCTTTTGTAGTAATATGCTAGTGAATACACAAAAGCAGCATACTCATGTTCAAATAGTATAAGCTTAGAGCACAATGTAACCTGACCATAGGGACCGTCCCCTCAGTGGAGCTGACATGTGTAATATGTACTGGCGTATCATTTAATAAATAAACTATTATTTTTTTAAATTTCAATATTTGCAGTGTACGTAGGATAAGAGGTAAACAATGACCAAAAACGTATATAACTAAAAATACATTTACCTAATACTTCCTACATTTTTGATGGGGGGCCGGGGGGGGGGGGGGCAGCAAGGAAACTAGATTTTGGTGTTATCTAGGTTACATCTTTTTTTTGTGTTCCCCACAGCTCTACCTATATGAGTGATGAGACTGAGAGTGATGATACCCCCCTAGCACCTCCACCAACTCCTGTGTCTTCTCCACCATCTACATGTGACAATTCATCTTGCCCTTCTTTATCATCTCATCCATCATCAATTTCTCTTCATCAACATTCATTATCACTCGTTTCAGCTCCTAGTCTGTCTCATGCACCCTCTGTTCCATCACCTTTACCACAGCCCTCTCATTCTGCTATCTCTGTCCAGGCATCTCATACACATGTAGATGTTTTTTATTTGTTCTGTGCAGTTTTAATGTTTTTAATTGTCTTTACTGTCATCATTCTTTTTGTATTATTTTGTCATTTGTACTTGTAAATTTTTTCATTGTGTCCTGTTCTACAAATACCTATCTTCTTTTCCCTACATTTCCTGCTGTCTTGTAATGGTAAGCATTTAAATTCAAAAGATATTCTGTTGCCTTATACTTATAGTTTCATAGTTCATTGTAGAATTTGTAGAATTGTACTGACTCTTTGACCCCCTATTGGGTATGAGAGTACAAACGAACATAAACGGAATGTAATAATCTGACAACTGATACTTGTGCTGTCTGACCATGATCGATGTAGCTATTGTCAATATATTGAATAATAGAATACATAGAATTTTGGAAGTTGTTATCCGAGGCATAAAGAAGCACAATAATTTGGCCAGTCTGACACTCTAAATGAGGTTTTTTTTTAATCCTTTTTAAAAAAAAATACAAATGTTGATAACTACATGTATTTAATCTCTTTGGTGTTCATGGCTGTTGTATGATAGAAAGAGCTCTGTATTTATTCTGAGAGATATATTGCTCTAATACTGTAATTCACATGTCACCACAAAAGTTGATACATGCATGCACTAGATTCCCCATTCTTCTGTGCAGTAGACATACATGTAGCTCGTTGCTTTTCTGGTGGCGGCGGTGGCAGTGTCAACATCACAAACTTTACCCAAAGTTAGTTTTGGAATTTTTGATATAATTTTGAAAGTATAAGTCCTTATTCAATTAAACTTACATGTAGACTAAAGAATTTTGAAGTATCCCCAATCATGTGAGTAGAATTTCAGGTCGCAAAGTTAAAGTCAATCAAGGTCATTTCAGGTCAACAAACTTAGACTATGTTGTGGCATCAACATCAAAACTTACCAAAGGTTAAGATTTTGAATTTTTATCAACATTTTGAAAGTATACATTCCTGTTCCATAAAACTTGAACATAAGGGTAATCATGCAAGTATCACCAAACATGTGATTAGTTTTTAGGTGACAAAGTCAAGGTCAAATGTAATTTCAGGTCTGCAAACTTAAACTTTCTTGTTGCATGAATTAACATCAAGATTTTGAATTTTTAGCATAATTTCTAAAGTACCGTGTCAAATTCCATGAAACGAACCCAAGGGTTATCAAGTACCACAATCATATGACACAAATTACAGGTCACAAATTCAAGGTGAAAGGTCATTTTAGGTCAGTAGACTTTAATTGTGTTTTCACTACTTAATATGAGAATTAATAAATCAATTTGTATTATTTGTTCATATTTCATGAAAGTTATCAATCTTGGTAGAAATACATGTAAAAGTAAATAATTATTCTGATGATTTTTATTCAACGCTTAAAGTGCATTGTAACCTGACTGGGGACCATCCCCTTTTGCAGTAATATGCTAGTGAATACACAAAAGCGGCAAACTCATGTTCAAATTGTGTATAAAGCTTAGAGCACAATGTACCTAGACTGGGGACTGTTCCCTTTTGCAGTAACTTTGCTAGTGAATACACAAAAGTGGCAAACTCATGTTCAATTAAGTTGTGTATAAAGCTTAGAGCACAATGTACCTAGACTGGGGATCGTCCCCCTTTGCAGTAATGATGCTAAAGATTACACAAAAGCTGCAAAGAGTATGCTAGACTGGGGATCGTCCCCTAGTTGCAGTAACTATGCTAATGAATACACAAAAGCGGCAAACTTATGTTCAAATTGTGTAGAAAGCTTCAGGCATGACAATTTTTTGCGTATTCACGGGTTTCTACTTTTTCCCGGATTTTGGATTTTCTTTTCCGCTGATAGAAGCAAAAGGCGGAAAAAAATCTGTGGAAATTAGCCATTTCCTTTTTTTTTTTGTGTGTGTGTCTTAGCGACAGAGCGACAGATTGATATTGGTCACTCTGACTAATCGCTATGAAGTGAAACATAAGAAGAATAAGAAGAAACCACGCAAAAAACACTATGGACAAAAATATATAAAAATTACATCAATATATTAGAAACCACACTTACAATACATTATAATTGTACACGATGGAAACACAAGTGGGTAGGAGTGGCGGTGGTAAATGACAAAGAATTATATATACTGATATGTATAATATCTCTAATAATGATCGCTTATGATGTTTAAGTCAAACAATCGCCCCCAATCTTCCAAGTTGACAGTCTATACAGTTCATTGTTCCTGAATTCTACTGGTTTGACCTCAGCAGAGTTGACTACATTATTTTTCAAGAAAATCATGCAAATGAAAATGCTGGAATTTGAATTACAATATACAGATACTTTGATAAGGTTTAAGTGATTTGAGTGTTTTGTGCATTGCATGTACCTCTTGGAATGAATTAAGTGTGTATTTTTTCTTTCTTTTTTCCTATTTTCTTTTCAGCATTGATGCATCTGACACCAACCATTTAGCTCGTCTTGTGAATGATAGTGCTCCATCAAAACGCTCTTGCAATGCAAGGATGAGAAAGATCATTAGCTGTTCTGGAACACTACATTTGTGTTTATTCTCTCTACGTGATATTGAGCAAGGAGAAGAGATTCGATACGACTATGCTGCGAAAGGTCTCTCATGGAGAAAAAAAGAAAAACTATATAACAAGATAGCATTGAGTGTAGATTCCAGGAATGAAGATGATGGGAACTATGAAACTGTACTGGATTCTGAAGACGATGGTGGCTTAAATTCAGGGTTATCAAATTTCAAGAGATTACAGCATATAAATGAAGCCATTATTGAATGCTGTAATGGTAAGAATGACAAAGGGAAGGCATGTATCAAAGAATCTGGATATAAATGCAGAGATGAGAATGAACAGGGTGGTTCAGCAGCATCTAGAGGCAGAAATGAAGATGAACCAGGCATTTTGACACCATTGGAGGATGTTATTCACACTGATCCTGAATTTGCACCAGATTCAGGAGATCGAGATAAACAAGATCCTGATGTTGCACCAGATTCAGGAGATAGAGATAAACAGAATCCTGATGTTGCACCAGATTCAGGAGATAGAGATAAACAGAATCCTGATGTTGCACCAGATTCAGGAGATAGTGGTAAACAGGATTCTGATGTTGCACCAGATTCAGGAGATAGAGATAAACAGGATCCTGATGTTGCACCAGATTCAGGAGATAGAGATAAACAGAATCCTGATGTTACACCAGATTCAGGAGATAGAGATAAACAGAATCCTGATGTTGCACCAGATTCAAGAGATAGAGATAAACAGGATCCTGATGTTGCACCAGATTCAGGAGATAGAGATAAACAGGATCCTGATGTTACACCAGATTCAGGAGATAGAGATAAACAGAATCCTGATGTTGCACCAGATTCAAGAGATAGAGATAAACAGGATCCTGATGTTGCACCAGATTCAGGAGATAGAGATAAACAGAATCCTGATGTTGCACCAGATTCAAGAGATAGAGATAAACAGGATCCTGATGTTGCACCAGATTCAGGAGATAGAGATAAACAGGATCCTGATGTTGCACCAGATTCAGGAGATAGAGATAAACAGAATCCTGATGTTGCACCAAATTCAAGATATAGAGATAAACAGACCCCTGACTGTACACTAGATTCAGCAGATGAAGATAAACAGACTCCTGATGTTGCACCAGATCCAGCAGATGATGACAATGATGATGACTTTGCACCAGATTCAGCAGATGATGACAATGATGACTTTGCCCCAGATCCAGTAGATGATGATGATAAAGATTCTGACTTTGCACCAGATTCAGCAGATGAAGATGACAGTGATAGTACTGACTTTGCACCAGATTCAGCAGACGATTGGGACAATGATACTGACTTTGCACCAGATCCAGTAGATGGAGATAAACAGGATCCTGACCTTACACAAGATTCAAGAGATGCAGGGCATTCTGTCACTGTGATAAACACGCAAGATCCATCTACTGTAGATGAGCAGCCAACAGTTATGTGCACAGACAATACAAATGGAAGAAAATACAACAAAGGGACATATTGCCCATTTTGCCAACGGTATGTTATGAAATTTCCAAGACATTTAAGGGAGTTTAAGGCACATAAAAATGAACCCCAAGTTGTTGAATGGTTAGCAACACAAGACAACAAGTTGTTAACAAAGATGCGAAACTATGGCAACTTCCTTCACAATGCAGAGGTGCTAAAAAACAAGGAAGGTGTACTGATACCAGTATACCGACCCAACAAAAAAGATGCTGACTGTGATAAATATGTACCGTGCAATACCTGCTATGGCTTTTTTGCAAAAAGAGACCTGTGGAAGCATAGTTGTGTGTTTGATGAGAAGACAGATGAACCAGTCAGGAAGCGCATGCGAAGAAATCGTGTCAAAGCTGGTAAAATGATGTTACCTTTTGAGGGCTCCGAGGCAGTTCGTGCTATATTTGCTGGATTGAGAGATGATGAGGAAGGTGTTGGAAGCTTCATTAAGAATGACCCTCTCATGAAGAAATTGGCTGACAAGTTTGCTCTCAAGTTGGGACATGATAGTGAGCAGTATAATCACATCCGAAATAAATTGAGAGAGGTTGGAAGAATGGTATTACAATACAGACGAAAAACGAAGAACAGTACTACATCTTTGGCTGATTTAATTGACCCGAGCAAGTTCAGAGATGTGGTGGAGGCTACAAGAACAGTAGCTGGGTTTGACGGGAAGAGGCATTTGTATGTCACTCCAAGTTTAGCACTCAAACTTGGACATACCATGAAGAAGGTCTGTAATATATTGCTAGCAGAAGGTATAATGGCAGGTGATAAGGTCCTTGAGGACAGATGCAATAACTTCTCCAAGCTCCTGGACATGAACTGGCATGAGCAGGTTTCGTCCCATGCCCTACGCACACTTACGCAAAACAAGAGGAACAACCCCCAATTCTTGCCAATAACAACTGACATTCAGACCCTGGCATCATTCCTGAAGAAAGAAATGAAACATGGGAAACAAAATCTACTCAGTGATCCATCGAACATTCAGCAACATTGGAAACATCTGTCTGAAGTTACCCTGACTTTATTGTTGGTATTCAACCGCAAGAGATCAGGGGAGGTTTCTAAGATGAGAGTAGAAGACCTTCATAAATGCAGAAAAGGTTCTGAGGGCCTAACTCTGTTGGAAGGCTTGTCAAAGTGGGAACAAGAACTGTGCAAGATGTTATGGCGCATAGAAATCGTAGGGAAGAAGGGCCGCACTGTTCCTATGTTGCTAACTGAGGTAATGAAGGATAGCTTGGATCTACTCAATCACAACAGAGAGAAAGCTGGGGTTTTGGATGACAACAAATTTGTCTTTGCAATGTTGCATAGCAATGGACACATCAGAGGATGTGATACTCTTCGCAAGCATGCTGATCTTTGTGGAGCAAGTAGACCAGAGTTTCTTAGATCAACAAGACTTCGGAAGCATATAGGAACAGTCTCTCAACTGATGAATCTAGAACGGAATGAGGAAGACATCCTTGCAAAGTTCTTGGGGCATGATATTCATGTTCACAGAGAATACTATCGTCTACCAGACGAGACTTTACAACTGGCCAAGGTTTCAAAGGTTTTGCTGCAGTTAGACAGTGGAGATCTAAGTTGTCTGAGTGGAAAGGGACTTGATGACATCCAGTTGGATAAAGGGGAAGGTATGTTTATATGTATATTGTACCTTCAAGTTGATCTACAACTACTAGATTATTTCACAAAACAGTGGCATCTTTCATATTAAACTTCTTCTCTCAGTAAGCCTTTGAAGCTATAAAAGGACAAATACAATTCTAAGCAATATCTGTGTGGTGGGACAAATCTGTTTTCCTCCTAAGCCATTATACTGTATCCTTTTTTATAAATGTTTTTGCAATATTACTATATCTAGAATGCTACAGATTTGATAAAATACTTGAACAGAATTATTAAACATCTCTGGCAAATTTATATTGCAGCACATACATAAAAAAAAAAATATATATATATATATACAATGTACACTCAACAACAATAAACACTTTTTAAAGTTCAGTTTTGTCATAGTAGACTTTCATAAAACTCAATATATTGTACGTCAAATTAAAGGAAATTAATGCTCTTTTCACCTTGTAGGTGAACACATAAAGAAACTTTATGCATGGGTGAACACATTTGTTTTTCTCTTCCAAGGTGCAAAAGCAAAAATTTACAGTTTGCCGTTCATATGTATATGCCTTTCCACATAATAATGGGAACAGAAGATGAAACATACTCGATGAAAGACTCATTTATTGCATAATTGAGCCATAGCTCTCTATATCTCTTTCCAGCCCCCCCCCCCCCCAAAAAAAAAAGTGAAAGAAAACGAAAGAGAAGAAGCTTCTGTTGATAAAGTCCAAATTCTAATTAACTTTGCATTAGCCACAAGGATAATTACATGCCCCAAAATTGATTTTCTAACTTCTTGGTCAAATGGAATGATTATTCAGTGATGTAGCTTGTGGGATTATAAAATACAGTGCATTACCAGGGAACACCACTGTTATGTTCAAAAGCATACCCCCACAATGCATTGTCCTAATTCCCCCATGCTGTGCCACTTTGATTATTTCTAATTGGTAAATTTTAGATTTAAAGATTGATTTTCTTTTCAAGTGGGAGGAACCATGCAAAATTCCATCATGCTTTTTAAAAAACGTTTTTGTTGTAATTTTTAGTGCAATATGACGATGCATATCAAGTTGATTGACTTCACAAAAAATTGTTGCATTTTTAAAACTTACTTTTTGGAACAGATAACTGAATGTGTGAGGCATCAATATTTATTTCATCCATCTTTTTGTTGGTCTTTTTCATGCATCATCATCACCCTTACAGAGGTAATTTTGGAAGACCCTCTTGAGCCAAATGATGACAATGAGAATATTGCGGATGTCAGTGGTAAGTTCAGTTTGTGTTATGTACACCCAAAACCAATAACAAATGGGGGACAGCTGGCTTTTGCTAACGTTGCACGCAAATTATGGTAAACTTTACCATTAGAAATGAGACAATCATCATCAATTGAAATATTTAAGAAGAAACTTAAGCACCATTTGTTTATGTTGTAGTTATTAATATTGTATAATTATGTAGATATATTACAAGAGCGCCTTGAGCAGTCTTTTATAATGGATATGTGTTCTTTACAAGTTGACATTATTATTATTATTATTTGAGGGATCTGAATGTCTTCAACAGTACAAGAGGATGGAGAGTTAATTTGAAACAGTTCAAGATTCTGAAAAATTTAGATTCCATAAATAACTCAACAAAGAAGCACTGTTAAGCATAACAAAAATTCAGTAGACATTCAAAATGCTGTTGTAAAAATCTAAAGCTTAATTGTTTAAAATCTTTTCTTGAGAAATGGTTGCATTGCAAAGAGGGGGAAACATGTTCATTCCTATTCTGATCTTCACACATATGCTATATTCTTTAGTGCCCTTATATATTATACAAATATTAAATGTTTATGAGTGCTATGGTTCCAAATATTACATGATGGTGCAAGTTGAATAGGATAGTGGATAGTTACGTTTGTGAGGTGTGTACTTAATGTTGATTCGTGTGGCATTAACTCATTATTAGATCACAGTGCATTAATGTCCATATAGGCTGGCTGGACTCATTCCTGCTAGTAGAAAGAATAATTCATTTCTCTGTTGGCCTGTGTACGAAAGGGGGGGGGGGGGTTATGTCTCATTGAGACCTATATTAATAGCAAGCACGAACACAACAACAGATAAAAGGTACTTTTTCATCATTAGGGGCGTAACCCGGGTTTCGCATTTAGGGTATCAAAAACAGCAAAATTAAGAAAAAAGGTTGTCAAATTAAGAGCTGATGAGAAGGACAGATCCGCAAAAAGGGTAGGAAATTGGATTCCCAATAGTTTAGGAACTGTTAAAATAGGTTGCAAAATACCAAAATGAGGACCTTTGATCCCTTTTTAGGGGTGCTTTTCAGAAGAGATTTTACAGATACTATACAGGTTTCTATATATAAAAAAAAAAATATATATATATATATATATATATATGAAATTGACTTGAGTACATAGAGAACAATTAAACAAGTAAAACTAAAAAAAATCTTCAAAATCAGATGAATAATGACAAAGTTAGAGCATCTTGAAACTTTTAATTGTAACATGAAACAGTGATATGCATAAAACAATTATTGACAAGATTTTTACTGTATTTTTTAATTTTACTGTCTATTCAACATTTATTCTTATATTTTAGGTTGTTCCCCTACAACATCATCTGAGGAAAAGGTCATCGAGTACACACAGGACCTACAGAAGACAAGACGCAAATTACAGAAGAGAGGTAAAAAGAAGAGGAAATTGATGAATGCTGAAAGAAATGGCAGTATGCTTTTTGAGGTTATGAATGATGAAGGTGGCGTTTGTTGGAAGAAAAAAATATTCAGAAATGTGTAAAAAATCAAATAAATAAACATCAACTTTTGTACTTTGATACGCAACAGTGTACAATCTGGCTGGGGAAGTCCCCTGTTGCTTGTGACGGTACATACAGTATGGATAGGGTGTATACCTTTACACACACTCCTCTTTATCAGACTGGGGACCGTCCCCTGTTGCATGAAGACCTACATAAAATATGTCGTTATCGGATAGCATATCACATCAATCTGTTCAATTACACTGGGGACCGTTCCCTGTTGCATGTACACTTATATGTGAAAAGTATGTTACATGATGGTCATATCTGTTCCATGGACATCCACTTGGGACTGTCCCCTGTTGCACAAATATGAAGAATGTGTTATCCGGCACCTCAATCAGACTGGGGACAGTTCCCTTTTGCATGTACAGGTAACTCTGCCTTAGTCAAATCTCTTGGGACCACAGAAATCTGTTTGACTGAGGAGAAATTTGACTTATGAGAGAGGTAAATAACACATGTCTTGTATAATCTGATCTAAAAAATTGCTTTGACTTAGGTGATTATTCGGCTTAGGCAGAGTTTACTGTAAACAAAATTGTGACATCGGATAGCTTAAAAAAAGACATAAATCTGCACAACTAATAATAATAATAATATTTAATTTTTATTATACTATTTACAACTAGACTAGGGACTGTCTCATGTAGTTGCATGTACATGGAATGTGTGTTACCTGATACTTATTTTTGCTCAGTCAGAGTGGGACGGTCCCTTTTCGCATATATACATTGATATTTTTTGATACCTTTGCCCCATCATTAATCTGCTCAATCAGACTGGAGACTGTCCTCTGTTGCATGTACATAAATATTATGTGTCACCTGATACCTTTACACATTGGTCTCCTGAATCAGACTGGGGACCATCCCCTGTAGCATGTATATGAAATGTGTGTCATCTGAAAGTATAAGACGTCAGTCTGCTCAATTAGAATGGGGACCATCCCCTGTTGCATCACAATATTACATTTCAGTAAGAATATTGTATTGGATTATAAGCAGCATGAACAGTAATGAAAAAGAAATAATAATCTCCAGGCACAACATACTGCCTTGCCATTGTCCTGTATGGTAATTGGACCGCTTTGCTTGCCCAGCTTACATACAGTTAAACTTTTTCTGTGTTATGGATTTAGTCTTGTGCCGTAATATCACTATATCACTTGGTCCAAGATAATTGAGTGGAAAGCTTACAAAATAACCTAGATGGGCATGAAAAGGTATGCTTAAATATGAACAGTTTGATTTAACATGGATCAGTTAGTTACAACCTATCAGATCAAATCCACATGTTAAGATAATAGAATATTTTTACAATTACAAAGCAATTTCTTTTGAGAGAACATAACATTACTGGAATCCTCATATTATAGGAAAATTTTGCTGTTCAGAAATTCCCGAACAATTGCAGTAAAACGTATAACCTTTACAATTTGCTGCAAAAAGCAGCAAATTTGCCCTCCAAGTACAATGTTGTACATAGGGAACCCATGGTTGCATAATGAGTTATCAGAGTCCACACTGGTATCATAGTGATTTGAATAAGTACAGCACAATTAAACAAGCAAAACAGTGAAAATTTCATTAAAATCAGATGAAAAGTGACAAAGTTAGAGCATCTTGAAACTTTTAATTGTTACATGAAACAGTGATATGCATAAAACAGGCTGTATTAGTGAGCCAATGTTACATTACGCATATCACTGTTTCACAAAATAATACAAAAATTCAAAATGCAATAACTTTGATAATTTTCACCCAATATTGACAAGATGTTTACTGTATTTTTTAATTTTACTGTTTATTCAACATTTATTCTTATTTTTAGGTTGTTCCCCTACAACATCAGCTGAGGAAAAGGTCATCGAGTACACACAGGACCTACAGAAGACAAGACGCAAATTACAGAAGAGAGGTAAAAAGAAGAGGAAATTGATGAATGCTGAAAGAAATGGCAATACCGATATGCTTTTTGAGATTATGAATGACAGAGGGGTGTTATAAGATCAAAGTGCTTTTTAAATGATAAACCCTATTGAGTATAAAAGGGACAATCAAAAGACCAAAATAATAACTTGTGATTTAAATCTGCTACATACATGTATGTGCCCTGTAAAAAAAATACAATCAATCTTTTATGTTCCAGGCACAGAATGTAATTAGAATTGACTAATTCTAACCTTTTGAAAGATTTGATGGCATTCCTTTGTTAATTTTAAAATGAACTTACCATACCTTTATTTTGTTCATTTTTTTTTAGCAGGCCCCAAGAGAGTGAAAGCAGTACCTGAAAAGTTGAGTACCGGTAAGAGGAATCAGATCAAGCGACCCTGGACTCCTGACGAAAAAGCTGCTGTCCATGAAACCTTTCACCGTGAGATTTTCCAAAACAGACTTCCAGGTAAAGGTGTGATTCAGCAATGTCTTAACAAAAAGGCAGTTCTTCACAAGCGTACTTGGACGCAAGTTAAAGACTTTATTAGAAATTATCTAAAATACAAGGGGAATAAAGGATTTCTGTAAAAGGATTTCTGTAAAAGGATTTCTCCTGTGGTGCATTTGTGACTTGCTTTTAATTTTGAGGTGTTGGGTCATGTACAATTATAGATTCTCCCTGTATCCTCTCTGCACCAATACTGGATGTCCCAGTCTTCTCTACTTTTTTTATTCTTTAATTTCTTTAATGTGAGATATGAGATGATTGCTCTTGCTAAGCAAACCCAACCAGGCCAAAAATAGTATAGTTTGATCAGTCTCCATCAAGTTCATAGATTGGCAGTGGGAACCTAGCTAGCCTAAGGCTGCTAGTGAGGCGGGGACGACCGTATGTCACTAGCATAGTGTTAGTATTGCTAGGAGACCTGTTTTTGTCAAAAGACCTATCTCATACATTTACACATCTTCTGTCGCATTATATTCCACTAGTAGGAAATATCATCTTAATGCTTGAACTATTATATGGGTATTGATAATACAGTATATAAATCTTTTACCATGATCAAAGACATTAATAATCCAAGTGTTGAGAATTATTTCCAACTATAAATATATATGATAAAATTGTTCTGTACTATTTACCATTTTATTATTTAAGAACCATGTAAATGGAGTCAATATAAATTATATTGATTAAGGTTCATTTAAGAATGAAACATTTTGGTTATTTTTGGTTCAGTTTACCTATGCAAAAAGCGATGACATGCTATTAACCTTAGAAGAGAAAGAAATGGATTTTATAACACATGTAATTTTACCTCATTGTCCTGATTACCTCCTGCCATAAATGTTAATCACTGTTATAGATATTTCTTGCTTGCATTATGAGCAATTGTTTTGGAGAAATTATTTGGATGTTCTGGGATATTCCTTACTGTATCACCATAATTAATTTCCATAATCAATTTCCAATCATTCATATATGTATTACTGTACTCTGGTATCTAGCTGTGTTTCATTTGTCACATTATCAAGCTCTATTTGGAGTGGGGATTCCTAGTGTGTTCTACAGTGTATAAGTTTCTTACTCTTAGCTACATTAACATAAACCAGTTTTTTACCATGATGTATTTTGCAGTAAACTAATGTAAAGGGTCTCCTGCACCAGAGGCAAGTGAGCTATGCTCCCCATTTTGCACCCCCCGTCATCTGTTTTCATGTTTGTCTTCTTTATGGAAACACATTCTTTCATTTTGACTTATTATTATTTTTTTTATTTTTTTTATTTTTTTATTTTTTATTTTTTATTTTTTATTTTTTATTTTTTTTGGGGGGGGACTTAGTTTTTTAACAATGGCATCCTGGCCAGCAAGTAGCTATTAATAAAGACCCCTTTACAAGTAGTAAAGGTATTTTTCACAATTTTTCTTCACATCTAGGAATTATAGAACAAAGTTAACCCTAACTAGGCCTGGGGGAGTGGGGTGGGGTGGGGCTGTTTCCCACCAGCCCCTGCAGACAAAGTCTAGAGAGGGCATTAAGCGTTGCACCTGTCTGTCTCTTCATCCCCAAATTGGTTTCTGAGCGATAACTTGTTCAATATTTGACAGATTCTAATAATTTTTGGTGTGTAGGTAGATCACAATAAAAGACAGGTCAAATTTGAATTCGGAGTCCACAGGTCACAAGTCAAAGGTCACAACTCATAAATTTTTATGCAAATTGGTTTCCGTGCGATAACTTGAAAAATATTGCACGGGTTTTAATGATTTTGGGTGTAAAGGTAGGTGTCAAATTCGAATTTCGAGTCTGCAGGTCAAAGGTCACACTTCATTATATGCAAATTAGTCAAAAATGTGTTTCCCCTCCATATAACTTCAGAAATGTTTGATGGATTTTAATTTGTTGGTATGTCACTAGTTGATTTATTGGTTTTGTAATACATAAATGTGCATCTGAATTTGATTCAGTTTAAAAAAAATGCAGGATCGAGAATGAAATCAACATCTCTTTTTCAGACCAAAAAACTAATAAATGCTTACTATATAACCACATTAAGTGGGGGCATCTGTTTCCTATGGACACAACACACTTTTTCTAGTTTTAATCTTGCACATCGTTTCAGACCATATTTACTACGTCCAGGCATGCAATTAAGTTTCTCATAAATGTGATTTCATGCGTACTTTCAATGCACAATGTGTTTAGTTGATACCATGATTTTTTTTTAAAGCACATTTGCTAAGAATACTATAAAGAGTATCGTGAACAAAAATTAATGTATTTGGAGTGATATGTTGTGATTTGGAGGCAGCAACTCTGATTTCACGCATAAATTAGCATAATTTTTTTTAATAAAATGATTTCTTTAAGAAGAAAAAATTTATATACATGTAGGGCCTACGATTTTGTAGATTATACAATGCAGGCATCGTCCCTGCTAATATTAGTCTTGATCGTTCGGTCGATGGACGACATCTCACGCGGGCCTCAGAAACCTCCCTCCCCTGCCATAAGGCCAAAATAGCCTGGCCTAATTAGGGTCAACCATGCTTGTACTGTGCTATATTGTTTGAAAATAAAGTAGTTCGTCACATGTGGTGGCCAATGTTGGTCAATAGAGGAATTAATATATAGGGGTTTAGAAATCAAATGGGACTTGTCTTACAGTTTATTTGAAATTACATTTAATTCCAACCAAACTTGTCAGGAATTAATTTAAGGGGTCATTTTTATTCCTTTTAGTAGTTGTCTCAGGGTGGGGCCGGATTTGGAAAAACTGAACAAATCATTTCAACATTTACTAAAAATTATTGAGCCAAAAGAGTGTCCATGAGTGCCTTTGTAGTTGAAAATAAAACTTATTTTGAGAAAATGAAGTTAGTCCCTAGCACAGACCCAGGTTTTGAAATTATGGTATACATATAGAGATTTATAGACATATGAGGAAGATTTTCCCCAATATTTTCCTTATTAAAGTCCTTATATGCTTACAAAAGTTTATCTACAATTTCGTTTTTGGAAGGAGGTTTCTCAGTTTGTTCATAAGGTAACAGAACTGGAAAGAAATTAGTATGTTGTGCTGCTACTCCCACTCCTTGATTGAATGTCTTTGGAGAAATAGCAGTGATTATTATTTTATATAAGAGTAAAGTTGTTTATTATTAAGATTAGATTCTTCTGGTCAGTTTCCCAAAGATGTAGGTGTATGCTCAGACGAGGATCACCTATTGGATCTTTCCATGTTTGCATGAGGTTATTTACTTTACCTTTCAGTGTTTATTTAAATGTTTTATCTCTAAACAGAACTGGGGGTAACACAATACATGCATATTTCATGTTCTGAAATGCAATATTTCACCTAGTTTTCAAGGCAGATCCCACCATGTATAAACATGTTTAACTTTTTAAATGAATGCTTGATGTGATTTCCTGTGAAAAGAAAAAGATGATCATGTTTGACAGTGTTCATAATTTGTTGAGTGTTTTCTGGTCTGTTATTTTTTCATATTCATTTCTTGATTGAAAACATACTTGCTGGACTGGGCAATTGTGTTATTAAATGTTCATAAATCATTATTACATTTACATCTTGCAAGTTGAGTGTCTAGTTATTTATTTCTACTTGTGAGTATCAGTCTGTAATGATTTTAAAACCTTTAGGAAAGTGGAGTAGGAAAGAGGTTATTTCATATTCATAAATAAAATGATTATCTACCAATAAACCTGTTTACTAAGTGATTCAAATTTATGGATTTTTCTTCTCTGGGGATGACATAGTAATGAGGTATTCCATTATTACCCATCATTAATGATTGAAGTGCTATACTTGGAACCCAGTTTGCATGCATTACGTGTTGTTAAGTCTGGAAAACTTTCAGGTTGTCAAGAACAACCATATTCAAAAAGTATCCATAACATTTCAAAATGTTAGTAAACAGGCCTATTGCACAAGCTGCCACCTGGCATCTTCAAACTTTAAAACTCCCTTGTTTTCTAAAACAACTCTAAATGTTATGCTAAAGAGAGTCCTGTGCTAATTCAGTGCTTCATGTTATGTGATTGTGGTGATTGCACTGTGCTGGAATGTTGATATCGAGCTGAATGTCCAGTGGTTTTATGTGATTTCTACTATACACAGAATCTTACTAATAGGAAGAGAATTCAATGTACAGATGGTTCAGAAGAACATTCAGGTAATCAAGTCACCATAAGCAGTTTGCTCTGCAAAAACACTGAGTGTGTCTCAAATAGACATGTTTACTAAGTGATTCAAATATGGATTTTTTTTTCTTTACTTGGGATGACCTAGTAACAGGTATTCCATTAATCTGTCATTAATGAATGAACTACAGTACTTGGAATCCAGTTTGTATACGTACTTGTTGCTATGTCTGGCAATCTGTCAGGTTGTCTAGAACAACCTCTTTTCCTTCCAAAAAGTATGCATAAAATTTGAATGTGTTAGTAAACGGGTCTATTAATGATCTATAAGTGTGATTGCAGGTATACATATATATATATATATATATATATATAAGAGTAAAATAATGTGTTGACTTTATTCAAAACAAAAGGTTAATCTAAGACTCAAATGCATGATACCATCAAGTGAACACCCAAGCAAACAAAATGCTTAATTATATACAGCCAGTATAATAAATATTATACCATCTACAAATTGAATTTCCACATCTACGTTCAATAATAATAATCCGTTTTATATAGTGCTTAAATCATCAAATATGTGTCTAAGCTGCAGCACGTGGCAGTTTTTATTCAACCTGTACATTAATGACATAACATCTTAGGATTTGCAATTGATCATTAATCTGATGTAATACAGATAGACTTCTGGGTATTGTGCAGTAGTGGGAATGAGCTGTGCTCTGGAGATTCAACTGAAATGAAAAGTACTGCATGTATACTTTCAAACTAAGGTGGTTTTTAGGGGGGAAAATATTGATAAATGTGTAAAATATAAATGAAATAAACATGAACTTGTTGTTGGTACTTTGATAGCAACAAGTGTACAATCCGGCTGGGGAAGTCCCATGTTGCTTTTACATACAGTATGAGTAGAGTGTACAAGAGGAGTCTCTTAATCAGACTGGGGACCGTCCCCTGTTGCATGTACATCTGTATGTGAAAAGTATGTTACATGATAGTCACATCTGTTTCATTGACATCAACTGGAGACTGTCCTTATTTGTTGCACATCTATGAAGAGTGTGTTACCTGGTACCATACGTGCTTACAGTGCAATTTGGGGACCGGTCTTGGATACATTCCAGCGAGGCAATTAAAGGACCAAAATGTATACAACCCACTTAAGGGGACTGAAAAATAAAAAATGTCACCAATAATTATGAACAATTCAAATTAAAAAATCATGCAAGATAAAATACGTAATTATAGATGGAATAGTAAACAGCGTCTTTTCAACCCCTCGTGTTCTCTTGGCAAAGACGTTTTCCTTGAAACCACAAAGATCACGGATACACACCTTACCTTGATACACCAGACTAAATAAAGGTATGTCACCATGCTTTATATGGCGCCAAAGTTGAGGGAAACAGTTTTATATTGTCCCATTTTTTCTTTAGAAATATATCCAAACTGTATTCTGAATATAAGTCGCGTGTTGCCATGGAAATGGCGTTCATATTTAAAAGGATGCAGATTTGTGTAGCCAATTTTAATGCACCTGATTCACAATTCATATTCGGTTTCTTTGGTTTTTCTATCAATATGAAGAAAAGGAAATCTTAACAAAACATGTTTATGTAATCGGCTGATTAAAATTAGTCATCTTCACCTCTAATAGTGTTTTCTGTTCCGCGATTGTTAATGAGCTCGCGTTTTGACGTACTCCTTAATAAATATAGCTGATCATAGTTATAATGTAGAACTAGATTTGACCCTATCTGAAATATTCATTGCAAGATATAACAATTATTGAAAGATAAAAGAATAATAAAAAAAAGTTATTTAATAAAATGTCCCAGACGAAAACATGACATGAGAAATGATTGTTTCTCTCTCTCTCTCTCTCCATTTCTCTCTCCATTTCTCCCTCCCTTTCTCGCTCGCTTTCTCAGCACACTTTTTCATCCTCATCTCTGGTACGGTTTTCCGCTCCGCTATTTGCTTTTATTACGAAAGTATTCCTTTCGATCTTGAGAAAACTATACCATAACCTTGATATGGAGAAATAAAACACGCCTGATAAATGAGAACAATGTTACTGTAATTATAAAAAGTACCTCTTTTGATTGTAAATCTCTGTTGCATCAAAATGATACGAACAAATGTTTATTATGGTATATTTTCGGTACTAATATACGTAGGACGTTATACGTTTTACTTTGTCTCTCCGATGAATCCCACCCCACCCGCTCTGGATTCCTCTTTAGTTTCCATTTTGTTATCATGATTTACATTCAAAAGTTTTACTTTTTATAATTATTGTCCAGTATTATTCTTCTTATTTCGATATCACAAGGCGCTCGTTCCGTGTTTTGTTATTCATTTATCTCAAGATCGAAAGGAAAGGAAAATCAAATAGCGGAATGGAAACAGTACCAGAGATGAAGATGGAATTTGGCGCTGAGAAAGCGAGAGAGAGAGAGAGAGAGAAAGAGAGAGAGAGAGAGAAAAAATAATTTCTCATAATCATCTCTTTGTTTGGGACATTTTGCAATATCACATCCTTTTGCTCAAGTAGGTGGACAACATTATAAGAGAAAGAATGAAACATTATCTCTGACTCATAAACAACAACAAATAGCAAGAATACCCTACACAAACAGAAAAATCATGGAGAGGGAGATAAGGACAAGAAAATAATAAATAAACATGAAAAGAGAGGATTCTAGCGGAAGATGATATAGGGGAAACAAAATAGTTTGTAACTATTGCTTGGAGAGCAAAATAATTATTCTGTATTTATTTACTAATGTAGAGGTTTTGTGGTCGAGTGGATGCGTCGCCGGACTGTCGATCACAAGGTCCGCGGTTCGAGTCCCGCCGCCGCACTAATGTCCTTAGGCAAGACATTGATCTACATTTGCCACACTCCACCCAGGTGAATGAAATGGGTACCTGGTAGGGATTTATTCCTTGAAATGCTAGAGCGCCGTATGGCAGCCGTGCTAAAGCCGGGCTAGGATAATAATCGGGAGCGCCAGGAGGGTCAAATCTGACTGACATGAGCGCTATACAAGAACCCACTATTATTATTAAAGCGTTTTGAGTATGTTTATGTATTGGCGCTATATAATTATCAATATGTATCAATGTATTGACAATTTTTGACAATTATAGTATGTTAGTATTTATTGACAAAGTATACAAACAAATATGACACAGACATATTTGCAAGTATTTGGGACTTTATATATAGAAGACGCGAAAAGAGCTATATCTTTGTCTTTGGCCCATTATCCTACAGCTAAGTTACGTAAGAGGAGCAATGAACGTGACCGAAGGTAAGGTCATTGTCATGGTTATAAACTCCAACAATAGAAGAGCGGATGTCAGGTTAAGGGTATGCATTCTGGCATTCAGCATGTATATACTACATATATAACCCTGTTTTTTTTTTGTTTTTTTTTGTTGTTGTTTTTTTTTTTTTGGGGGGGGGGGTCTTGTTGTTTTTGCAGTTGCTTTTGTTTAAAGAATTTTAATGGGATCACGTTCCGACATACTCATAAATAAAAATTGTTAATCATATAACGTAGAACCAGATTTTACCCTATCTGAAATAATCCTTCAAAGATATACAACCATGCAAGATAAAGCAATGAACAAGAATATGTGATAAGATAAAATGTCACAGACAAAAAGATGATTATGAGAAATTGTTTCTCTCTCTTTTTCTTTCTCTTTATGTATTTCTACCCTCCCCCCTCTCTCTCTCTCTTTCGCTATTTCTATATGTCTCTCTCTCTCTCTCTGTCTCACAGAGAGAGAGAGAGAGAGACATATAGAAATAGCGAAGAGAGAGAGAGGGGGGGGGGAGGGTAGAAATACATAAAGAGAAAGAAAAAGAGAGAGAAACAATTTCTCATAATCATCTTTTTGTCTGTGACATTTTATCTTATCACATATTCTTGTTCATTGCTTTATCTTGCATGGTTGTATATCTTTGAAGGATTATTTCAGATAGGGTAAAATCTGGTTCTACGTTATATGATTAACAATTTTTATTTATGAGTATGTCGGAACGTGATCCCATTAAAATTCTTTAAACAAAAGCAACTGCAAAAACAACAAGACCCCCCCCCCCCCCCAAAAAAAAAAAAAAAAAAAAAAAACAGGGTTATATATGTAGTATATACATGCTGAATGCCAGAATGCCACCAATTATACCCTTAACCTGACATCCGCTCTTCTATTGTTGGAGTTTATTACCATGACAATGACCTTACCTTCGGTCACGTTCATTGCTCCTCTTACGTAACTTAGCTGTAGGATAATGGGCCAAAGACAAAGATATAGCTCTTTTCGCGTCTTCTATATATAAAGTCCCAAATACTTGCAAATATGTCTGTGTCATATTTGTTTGTATACTTTGTCAATAAATACTAACATACTATAATTGTCAAAAATATGTCAAGCAAATAATCTTTGGATACTGTATTGGCAGATATATCTGCCAATATTGTTCCGCCATTTGATTGTATGCCGGCATCATTCCTTCGTTTACATTATTATAACATATCCCTGCTGATGTACACATATATACATTATATTTATTATAGGAAACGAAATAGAAAACGGGCAGCTGATAATGTCGAAATGAGAAGAATATTACTGTACAATAATTATACAAATGTTTATAATTTAGTATTTATTATACGTCGGACATTATATTATACTTTACTAAAAAGATATAAACAGACAAAAAAAGAGACGAACTAAAGAACAAATCAGAGTTTGGGGGAGGGGGGGACAGACAGAAAGATATCATAATAATAAATACAGTAATACAGTACAAATAAGTCTAACTTTCTATACCCCCCCCCCCTCTATCTCTCTCTCCCTCTCCCTGCTCCTGTCTTTCTAGCTGTCTCTCTGTCTATCTGTCAATGTCGTTTTCCATCTTCATCTTTCAAATTTTTTTTCTATTCCGCCATTTGCTTGTAAGCCGGCATCATTTGTTCCTTGAGATTAATTATTATAACATATCCCTGATGATGTACACATATACTATGTAAAGCTCTGTTGCGTCAAATCGATATATTAAAAAAATGTTTATTATGTGTCGGACATTATAATTTTTTTTTTTAAAGAGACAAACTAAAGAAAACAAATCGGAGCAGATGGGGGTGATCGGAGAGACAAATATCATAAAGATAAATAAAGTATACAGACTACGTACAACTTTCTATCCCCCTCTCTCTCTCTCTCTCTCTCTCCCTCTCTCTCCCTCTTTGTCTGTCTCTTTGTCTTTCTGTCTATCTGTAAATTTCGTTTTCCATCTTCATCTTTCAAAAAAAAATTCTATTCCTCCATTTGCTTGTACGCCGGTATTATTCCTTCTTTGAGATTAATTATTATAACATATCCCTGATGATGTACAAATATACATTACATGAATTGAAGGGAATGCCAACAAACGGCTGATACTGTCGAAATGAGAAGAACATTACTGTACGATAATTATACAAATTAAATTTTGAATGTAAATCTCTGTTGCATCAAAATGAAATGAAACGTTTTATGTTATCGCAGGAAATTGTATACGTCGGACACTAATTCGCACAAAAGAGTAATCTAGAAAAAGGGGACAACATTATAAGAGAAAGAATGAAACTTCCCTTTTTATTTACAACAAATATTACTGTACAATAATTATTAAGAGAGACAAATATCATACAAATAAATACAGTATACAGACTACGTCCAACTTTCTACCCCCCCCCCCCCCCCTCTCTCTGTCTCTCGGTATCACTGTCTATGTCGTATTCCATCTTCATCTTTCATAATGTTGTCTATTCCGCCATTCACTTGTATGCCGTTATCATCCCTTTATTGATTATTATGCTATATTGGCGGTACTATACGTCGGACATTATACTTAAGCCAAACGATAATTATAATCAAACAAAAAAAGCGACAAACTTAATAAAGAAAAGGTCTGAGCTGGGGGGGGGGGGGGGGGGGGTGATCAGAGAGACAAATTTCATAAAAATAAATACAGTATACAGACTACGTCTAACTTTCTACCCCCCCCCCCTCTCACATATACCTTATATTTATTAGTAAAGGGAACGAAATAAAGAAGGAGCGGCTGATAATGTCGAAATGAGAAGAATATTACTGTACAATCTTTATAAAAAGTAAAACTGAAGGATGCATGCGGTCCCCTGTTCCATGTACAAGAATGATGTCTTACTCGCAACCTACGACACTTTGCTCAGTCAGAGTGGGACCGTCTCTTTTCGCAAGGTCCGGAGTTCAAATCCCAGCCCGGCACGAACGTCCTTTGGCAGACAAGACGTTGATCTACATTTGCCACTCTCCGCCCAGGTGCTAAATGGGTACCCGATAGGATGCGAAAGTTAATGTGGTTTGCTTAGCATATATTGTGAGCCTCTGTATGATGCCTGGATAGAATGCTCCCCAGGGACTGGAAAATGTGCATACATTGTGTGCAGGCAAGCCTGAATCCAATGACCGGGTAATAATATATCTGTAAAGCGTTTAGAGACGTCGTAGATCTTTTAAGCGCTATAAAAAAAATGAATATTATTATTTTTATTATTATATAAATTGATATTTCCTAATACCTTTGCCAATCAATCTCCTGAATCAGACTGGGGACCATCCCCTGTTGCATGTATGACTAGTTTTATTCCTGATTCTTATATTTGTATCTATATTGTTTTAGGCGTATTTGTCTGTGCAATTATTACATTTGGCATGCATCATTGTGGGAAATATTTTTATTCATTTATCTATATATTTTGTAGACTACGTCCCCATTTCGGAGGATTTATGTGGCAAAATTGAAAACGTCCCCGGAAGCATTTAAAAAAAAATAGTCCCCGATTAGAAGGATTAACAAGTATGTGTGTACTTGGGCATAAACTGAAGTTCTTAGTTTCCAATTTCAAACTTAGCCAAATAGACTTGTTTCTGTTTGTTCATTTTGTGAAATAACCATTCCAATGATGGAAGATTTCCTTGAGCAAGTAGAGATTGACCCATTTTTTGCGCTGTTGCTTGCAAATTGCAGTAGGCCCATGTGTTTTGTTGCATAATTCATGATTATGTACATTTGCTTGTTTAAGCAAAGTTGAATTGTACATTTCAGATAAATAATGATACCCATCACATTCCAGTTTGTTATGTTTGGTAAAATTTTTAGTAATTGATGATCCTGACAGTCCCATTGTGTAATGTCTGAATTTCCACATTTTTAAGTTGTTTTGTCATGTCAGGGATGTACATGTAGACATGAGTTTGGAGCTTGCCTGGAGAAAATCAAGTTGATGCAGGGCGAGCATATTTTTATACCGCTTTTTAAAAAAGGGCACAATCTATACTGGAATGGTATGGGAGAAGTTGTGCAGTATCTGGAATTGAAGAAGATGTGCAATGGTATTCAGATTTTCTATTCTAAGTTTAAATTGAATCATCACTACGTGTAGAACTAAAGTACATGTTCAGGTAAAGTTGTGACACTGGGCAAGGATAATATGACATGATTTTCATGGGGAAATACATATATCATTGTCTACATTGCTCCCCCTTTTTTTCTTACATATCTTAATACCATACCCATTATGTATTGTTGAAAAGGATGTCTTTTCGAGAAGGAACATGTATATGTATTATGACATGAAATAAATTGAAAAAAAAAGCAACAAACAAAAGAATTGCCCAATTTCAAAGTTACTTTGTGTGAAATTTATACTCGGAGCTGTGTGTGTGTGTGTGTGTGTGTGTGTGTGTGTGTGTGTGTCGAGGGGAGGGGGGGGGGTGGTATACTTCTGTGTCTGGAATTGTGAGTAAACAGATGTATGAGAGGATATGTTTATAATGTGTGTAAAGGTATTGATGTGCATGGATTAAAAAAAAAAAAAATCTCATTTTTATGAGTGAGTTGGGCATTGTCTATGGAAAGGGAGGGGGGATGGGTCGGATTGTTTTTGCCAGTGATGTCTTTATTTTATGATGTGGGTTATGGTTGCATGCTGATTAACTCCCCCCCCCCCCCCCCCCCCTACCCCTCTTATGAGCAGCAAAACTTTTGGTTTGGGGGATGCAAGCTAGGTTAGCTTGTATATGGACATTCAGCCCCCTCCCACTTTTCCATGTACGGGGGGGGGGGGGGGGGGGGTTGAGATACAATACAAACAATAGCGCGAGTTGCTTTCTGGCTCGCACAGTTGTGTTTGAAATGTGGCCGACACAACACAGTATATTATGCACTTCAAAGTTTATACATGCACTGCGCGCGCGCGGTAGACCGGGCGAGTGAAACAAAATGGCGTCAATGCGCAAGTTGTCGCTACTCTCTATATATAGGTACTCTAGTTCTGACTAGTGTCCCTTTATTAGTTCTGACACCGCGGACCAAAATAAATACATTTTTCGGGGCAATGTTGCAAGGAAAACGGCTCTAACATAATAACGGGCAGAATCGGGCAGCCAAATCTGGTATCAACTTAAAGCTTAGACATCAGAGAAAATGTTGGTAATAAAATTCAAGCGAAAATTCCTGGAAATCCAAACATTTCCTCTGGATTTATAAAAAGTAAATCCCCAAACATGAGTTTTGGCGCACTTTGGCTCCTCCCTGGCCCACTGTGCGATGGTCACCGATCAGGCATTGTTTGCTATATAGAGGGCGCAAGTAGCTATAAGTACAGTGGATATTTAAATCAATAAACTAGCGCAAGAATATCAATAATCTATTTTGTCTAAAACTAATTGTCCCACGAGATCAAACACCCACTACACTGATGGTCCACAAAACGAAAAACAGAGAAGACCGCCATTTTCTATAGAAAATATACTATATTTCCTTAAGTATTTTCTTATGTATTTCCTTGTTTTGTTTGCCTCGTGGCCTGTCGGTATAGTGAATCTCTTGTAAATGTCAATGCCAAAGTTAAAGTAACAACTCTAAAGAGTTGCTACTGGATCATAATGTCCAGGCCTATTTGGAACAATTTTTTTCTTCTCAAAATCTTCTTTGAAATAGTGTAATAATAAGAGTAATGAGGTCTTAGACATACGTGTTGGAACTCTGAATCGTCGTACTTGTACTGTGTCCCGAAAATGACAGTGCAGATGACGTTGGCTACTGCTTGTCCAACGAGGATGCTGGGGTCAAATGGAGACCCTTTCGTCTCTTTGATAGCCCTCCCTAGCTGGGCCATCTCGGCTGCGACGGTGTCTTCGTAGCTCTTTTTGCCGACCCCGAGGCTACGGAAGACGGAGAGAGTGAACTTGCGCTGCTCCTTCCACGATTGTCCAGCCCCAATCAGCAGACCTGCTGTTGTACCGAATTACAGAAGACGTGAGATTATTATTTGGAAAATTATTATTAACAGACATTAATCAAGCAATGATTTGAAGGCAAATAGTCCACAAACTAGTAAATTATATTATTACAATTTATTATTTCAGTTTTTATTACTGATAACTGAATTGTTTATATTACTGAAGATTTGGCGTATATATTCAGTACTGAATGTTTGCCATTAAACTACTACCAACAACAACAACAACAACAACAACCGGTAACGCAATGTTTGGGATGTTCATGATGCATTCACCTTTTCTACCATGACATTCTTACAATGTGCATCGAAACCGCAGGACTTACTTCGACAGGCAAATACCACGTTGTCTGCAATTATGTATAAAGCAGGCCCCGTGGCACTGAATAGGGGCTACCCTGTGTTTTTAAAGAAGACTGAATCATAAATCAATAAATAATCGTGTTGCGTCATTGGTATAGATACATACATGTAGATGATAGAAAGATAAATGGATTTGATTTAGGTCTTCGTGTCTGGCAGTTAAAAACTGAAATGAACATGAATTACAAGGACAATTTCCAAAGGACATTAACATGATAATATGAGATACCAATAGGTCACTTCCGCAATGCAATCGAAAGGAAATAATAATAATAATATCGGATATTTATTTATTAGCGCACATATCCACCCTCAGGTGCTCAACGCGCTCAAATAGTACCCCGGCTCTGCCAGGCTACCGATTTCGGTGCTCACGGCATTCAAGGAATTCCTTCCTACCCGTCCCCATTTACTTCACCTAGGTGGAGTGTGGCAGATGTAGATGAATGTCTTGCCAAAGGACTTTAGTGTCGCGGCGGGATTCGAACCGCGGACCTTGTGATCGACAGTCCGGCGACGTATCCACTCGTCCACGACACCTCTACGTGGGAAGCACAATCAAAAGTCATGTACTTACAATTAGGTTTGAACCCAGAGACTTCTTCTGTCATGCGGCTCCTGGGTTTGCCCTGGAGATCGGGGTGTCGGAAAGCCTCCGCGACAGCATCATAAGAGTTCAGGAGTACCACCAACTGTGGACCGATGTTGAAGGACGTGATCTCACCGTACCTGTCGGCCCACTCCGAGAGCAGGGCGAGAGGGTCAGAAGTGCTACCCCCAACAAAAAATGAAATAGGCCTTTACATGGTTGCGTGCAGAGCCATCCATTCACAGAGTTTGACCAACCCGGTTCGAGTTGGACACAACACTGCGACTACTGCTTTGTTGGGCAAGCACAAATTAAGAGAATGTTGTAACCAAGTTGGCCAAACTCTGTGCATAGATGGCTCTGGTTGCATGTAATTCAATTCAATTTTTTATTTCTGTTTCCAACAAAACATAACAGATCAATTATAATCATTTATAGAAATTAAGAAATACATACTGGAAACGGACGGGTCCACTGAAAAGAGATGCTTGTCCAAATTGTGGAACCCTCAAAATAATGGGTAATCAAATTAGGCGAACGGTGATTGGGACCAGGTCCCACCCCTTCGCCGTGAAATACACATTTTCAGGCCTCCGTCACGAGGTGTCAAACGACCTCATAATCGGGCAGAAAGGTGTCTGAAAATGTGGGTTTTATGCCTAAGATATCTCAGATGCAAGTCCTCTCCCACAAAACCGACAGTAATTTACTTGTTGGCTGCCCTATGAAATTAAATATGATAGATAGATGAAGCCGTACGCGAATTTTCTCTTTAAAGCCTCCTATACACTAGTTTGGCCAGGAGGGATTAGACCTCCCTGCACGGTCACTGACAGGAGGTTATCTCATCAAATCAGCTCTCAATTAACATAAGGGGGGGGGGGTAATAGGGGACCAATGGTCACCGATTATCCGTTGTTTGTTATATAGAGGGCGCAAGTAGCTATAAGTAGTACAGTGGGGCTTTAATATATTTTTATTCGTATATCACAGTCACATCGAGAAGCCGACTCCAAACTGATAGATTCATGTTAAATCAGTAAACCAAACCGATCGATTGTTGGTCATCCAGGATAAAGCATCTTCCTTTAACCCACACTGTGCGATTAAAGCACTTTTGTACAAACCCTGCACGTAAATCCCTTACATGATTCTGTGTGGCATTCTAACAGATGTTGGGGGTTCAATTCGTTTTCGGTATCGTCGGTGTGACTGAGGTATTCATTTACCCGATAAATTTTGAAATGACCCCAAGGAGGGGCAGTCCCGTCGGCCCGGGTGGAAGGTTCTTCGGTAGCCTCATCAGGTGCTTCACAAACCACGCAGCCACTAGCCCAACCAAAGCCGTTACCAATAAATGATAAGGCGTTAACTGGTGCCATCTGAAGTCCATCGCAGTATTATAGATTCTGGAGATAAGCAAAACAGAAGTCATTGTTTCATTTCATTATAGGAAATATTTTGTAAGCATAAATTAAAGTATGACAACTTGATCCTCTATATTTTCAGGGCGGGGGCATACTGAACATATTTTATTTATAATCTAAAGAAAAGACTGAAATTGGTATCCTAGTGAAAGAAAAGACTTAAATGTTTTTATGTAATATCCTCTTTTCTTCCCCCCAAAAAATGATCCTCTGACGCGTGTTTGCTATGTTGTATGTAATTATGCATGCACAATATTGTTCCATATGGCGAAAGGCATATCATATCCACGTACATACCCTCTTTAAAACAGTACTGGGTTCAAGTAAAACATACGTATAAAATCCCACATAATTAATTTGCTCGGCATGGATATATCTTTAAATAAGTTTTTCCTTGGTTCCATAACCAAAAGGCCATTATTTAGTGATTAAGATATTTGCAAAATGGTAAATTATGGGCATACCTTTCCTCCAAGGCGATGGGATGTTTTGGATATCCAAGCAAGCTGATACGACTGTTACAAGCACTGTATGATCAATCCCAGAGTACGGTCAGAGTAAATGGAGAGCTGACAGAGTGGTTCAAGACAACCGTAGGAGTCAGGCAGGGGTGTGCCATCTCCCCACAACTTTTCAACATACTCCTCGAGCTAGTTATGACCATGGCAATGGAGGAAGTCCAAATAGGAGCTAAAATTCAAGGAACCTGCATAAACAACTTACGTTTTGCAGACGACATCGTCTTGATAGCCGAGACTCCAGAGGAACTGCAGACACTGGTTGATAAAGTCTACAAGGCAAGCTGTGACCTTGGTCTCAAGGTGAACATAGCAAAGACAGAAGTGCAAGCTATTAGCAAAAGCAAGTGCAACCTCAACATTGACATAGCCAACGACAGACTAAAACAGGTGGAAGATTTTGTGTACCTGGGAGGGAAAATAGCAGAAAACGGCTCAAGTACAAGTGACATTAAGAATCGTATCAGGAAAGCAGGGGCAGCTTTCCAAAGGCTAAATGACATTTGGACATCAAAAAGCATTAGTAGCCACACGAAGATGCAACTGTACCAATCACTCATCCTCTCTATACTGCTTTATGGGGCGGAATCCTGGACAGTTAAAAAAGAAGATAGCAACAGACTTCAAGTGTTTGAAATGGCATGCCTTCGTCGCATAATGGGGGTGACAAGACTAGATAAGATCCGTAACACACACATCAAAGAATCCCTCAACCTCGATCAAGATGTTATGGACAAAGTCTCCACTAAAAGACTCAAATATTTTGGCCACGTCCTAAGAATGAAACCTACAAGATACTCCAAAATTGCCGTGGAAGGAAAGGTCACAGGAAATCGACCCAGAGGCCGTCCACCCAAAAGATGGCTTGACTGCATCTCAGAGGACTGCAAAGCAAGATCCATACCAAGGCTGACAGATGCATCAAGACTGGCTGCTGACAGAAAAACTTGGCATACCATCACCATACAGAAGCCATCACGAGGCCCCCGGCCTGCGTGGACGGCATAAGTCAAGTCAAGTCAAGTCTTTCCTCCAAAATACGGCAAAATGTTCACCCATATTGTTCATCGAATCGCCGTTATTGCTTTAGCGCCTTATCAGCTTGTATAATATTAAAATATTTACTTTGTATGGTGGTGTGACCATTATTTACGCGTGACCTTTTCTCGGCATCTAAGAAAATCGGTAATATTGCGAAATTCTGATACCACCATTGGAAAGATGGAACTATTACCCAGAGCTTAAATTGTGTATGGGATTGGGTGTGAAATTATGAAAATATTGACAAAGATCGACAACTTTTGCAGCCTTTTGCGTCAGTTCCGAAAAAAAATATGAACTTACCCGACACGGGTCTGGATTTTTTTATTTTGAGAGCAGATTTCGTCAACATTGCAAGTAAAAAAAGTGGTATCATCTGATTATATGATTATTTGACTTGCGAAATCTTATACTTGATTGATCGGGTTTGTTTTGTGATAAATCAGCTGTAAACTTCCCTGAGCGAATTAAGGTTTCGTTTTTGTAATGACCTTTTTTTGAGTTGGAGCCCATTCCGCTCCGAGATTGAATTTTGAAATCGCAATATCTCTGGCATCTTTGACGATTAATTGTCTTGTTGCACCAGTAGTCAAAACTTTGCAGTCTAATTGGTAATAATCGAACTAATCAATTCTTTGTAGAATATGAGAAATCATGGATCGAATATCACATTTCCTAATAGCAGTGGAGCATATATTCTTTCAGTAGTGGCTCTCAGTACGCACATGATAAAAGTATGACAATGCGTTTATGGTAATGCTTACCTAACAAATGCAGCTGTGATAAATACTCAATGCAGCTTGTAAATGAAACAATCCTTGTCGGATCGAATCCGGATAACTCTCCCGAGAGGCTAGGGACGGTATTCTAAAAACCGTTATGTCACTCTGTAAATGAAACAATCCTATGAATATTTCCCACTCTGTCGGCTAGCTAGAGGAGGATAGCTACGGTAGTAGTATACCTAGCATGCATCGGACCAATTCATGTCGTTCACGTACAGCATCTCAACGTAGCGGAACCTACGATGGCCTATGACCTGTGTGTTTTTTTCTCCACAAGTGAATGAAAATATTCCTCGTTGGCAAATATGGACTTCGCACTGTATTCGTTTTTAGTGTATTGTTTTATATGTCAAGTGACAATCGGTTTTCATGTACAATGCTCGTACGAAATAAATGTAACTAATGTATTTTCAAAAAGTTACAAGAGCGAATAAGATGTAGTCTTCGAAAATAAATGGAGCGAGCATTGCGTGGTTTAGATGGCAAATTGTATATACAGACAAAATTAATGTACATTGCAGTAATATAATTCACATTTAAAAAAGGGGGCAATGGATGTTACTGTCAAAATAGTATACCAGCTCACATTATTTGGATACATACTCATTTACCTGTACGTCATGAAATAACTGCAACGACAAGAACACCAACAACAGAAAATTGACAGTTCACGGTTAGCACCTCACTGCAATGACCCCGAATATCCACAGATCTTCAAAACATGAAGAGGTCCCACTTTGTACATTTTGAAATAATCACTCCTACAGCGATGGAGTTGCTATATAAATAGCCTTTGTTCCCCCTTTTCAAAGAATACTTCCACCTGTGTACCATGGAGTGCACTGAATGTGCATGAATGAATAATGTTACATAACTTTCATGAGCACGTATCCAGTATTTCGTCTCCGTGTATTTCAAAATTTGTTCTGCAATGACCTTTATCTGCCCATGCTCAGACTGCAACCGTCTCACATCCTCCCCCCCCCCCCCCCCCCCCTCTCTCTCTCTCTCTCTCTACGTCTCTGTACTATTGTGCCTAAGTATACACCGAACAAATTCTATGTCTGTATGCGGGTTCTTTCAGGCACATTATTATGTACTATATTACCCTGCCTTAAAGTGCGGGTTCTTAGAAAATCACAAATATGGCAAATAGCGTATTACTAGAAACTGGTAAGCTAACAGATGGCCATCATGCAAGTTTTAGGTCAACTACATATCGGGTGATTTATAAAAATACAAATAAAACAACCTCCATAGCATCTAGGATATGCGAGAGATTCGCCGGAAAATAACGATGTTTTAATGCCGTCTCAATATGAACCAACCCTGCCCAAGCAGACGACATTCCATAAAGAATGAACATAATTGCAATGCTTTTATTTCTCAAATTATAATGAGTCTGGTGTATATAAATGTGATGGAACTTTACACCATTCAAAAAGGGATATGACCCCCATTCTGATAACTAAATTCTTTTGTTTGTAAAAACACAGGATAGGGGTTAATAAACAATCAAAGAAACCACACTTTCAAATTAAAAAACCTCCGGAATGATAGCATGGACGTCATTTGTTCCCTCTTGAAACGCCGAACGTGCCGCGCGGTGTATGCAGCTGAAAATACAATGGCCTCTTATTTTGTTTACAAGTGACGGATTCCTTTTTTTTAATCCTTGCATTTTACATCAAAATAATACCATGCACGGGGTTTAGAATGAGGCAATAGATTAAACATTTCGCCTGAGGGTAAGAGAAATAACTGAAGAAAAGATAAAACAGGCATTAAAATTGTATGAGATGTCATGGGACATCGTCTGCTTGTGCACATCATGTTCAACATGTGACGTCATATCTCAGCAGCGACCGGAGATCTTTTCAGGTGCTATGTCGGGGCTGTATCTAAGCGTTTTGTAATTGTTAATAATCATTACTTCGAATATTTCCAAGCATTGGCTTTTGATATCCTTGGCCAATCAAAGTGTTACCTTTGCAATAATGACATTAATGTTAGTTTTTTAAATCAACGAACCTTCTCTTTAAGAACTTATACCCTCATCGGTAAAATTCGGTCTTGTGTTATTGAAGTGCACTCTTTTTTATTTGATTGTTAATTGTTTTCAAAATAAATAAGAATTGATTAAAAAATAAAAATAAAAAGTGACTAGTAGGACCCTATTTTTCATCCCCTTCAACTTGAATACACATTCTCGGCAGTTTCCATCTGTACTGCGTGATAAGTCGCTAAATTACACGAGGGAGATAAGACTTAAAGTCTCACCTCCCTGGTGTGAAATTACTATTAAATTGTGTACAAAACTCGCACACAGCGAAACTCCATCACTTGCTTTTCAGTCTCGGAGAGCGTTAGGTGAGGGAAATATATGAAGATAACTTTTTCTTAGGGATTGGTAGTCCAAGATCTGGCCGGTGCTTCATATAATATTCCTTTCATTTGATTTAATCCGCCGAAGATGGCGTTATAAACGAACTCATAATAAAGAAAAAGTATATACGCTTACCAGCCTAGCCTAATTTAATGATTAGCGTCCTGATTTAATAAGAACGTCATCTTCGGCTGGCAGCAGGTAAGTAGGGGAAGGTCGCGTATTGCTTTGGTGTGGTGGAGATCAAAATTACATAGGCTAGATTCTGGACTTATCGATTGTTTTTTTTCTGAAGTCGATGGAGGGTGTGTAAGTTACGTATTAGACCAATCGGTCGCAAAACTGAAGTCCACTCTTGCATGGTGATTGGAAACACCAGTTATCGAGTAAACACACTATTCGTGTCAAATTCTCCATGACAACCCATCTTCTTCTTCTTCTGATTAAGTCTGCCTCCTTCAGTTGATTGAAGATTCTTGCAAACTATGTGCGTGTGTGTGTTCACCGCAATTTGCGTCCATTTCAGTGCTATTGACATTATAATACATTTTATTTACCAATGTTTACAAGCTTATGTATAGGATGGAGGAAGACTAGCCACTGTCACCGACCGTCTGTAGTCAAATGCGGAAGGCTCCAACAGATGGCGCTGCAACAATTTCTGAGGGCAGGGAATTCCAATTCCTTACTTTTCAATTGCCCCCGGTTTCATTAAAGAACACGCAGCCCAATCTAACTCAACCCAAACGAAATTGTCCTGTCGGCAAATTCGAAGGTTAAAAGACAAAAAATGCAGAAAAAAGGTCGCCAAGCCTTTCGTGAAATCAACTTTAGTGAGATTTCGAAACCCTATATTCATGGTATTCCACAAAAGAAATCATGACGGTGATTACGTAATGCACCATTGTAATGTTTGCACATATCGTAATGGACAATGCTATGTTCTCCTTGATTGTTTTGCAAACTTTAAACTTCAATTTGGCAACTCTTTTTTCTTGCAATTATATTCACTGAGACGAGTAAAGGCTTGTTCAGACAATGGCGCAAAAAAGTCACTTCCCCCCTCGTTTTGTGTGTACGTGTAAATAAATGACAAATGCACGCAACAAAAGTCCTGCGCGTATTCACTGAGCTCTGTGTTATTAGATACATACATAATAGTGCATTACACTTTACATTCATCATTAAAAAAAAAATGCCGAAGTTTCGCAGCATGTCTGATTAGAAACTAAAAGATAATTGATCGCTTAGAGAGCAGGCGCCCTCTAAAAATAAATTACAAGAGAAAGGGAGAGAGATAGAGAGAGAGACAGACAGATTCAGAGACAGACAGAGAGAGAGAAAGAAAGAGAGAAAAATATGATAAAGCCCGATCAAGGTTCATATTGAACAAGCGAACAATATCTACAATCACCATGCAATTCGTTGATTTTATTATTGTGATTACTTCTCAACTTGAGCTTGGTTGAACAAACACAGGTACGTTGAAGCCCAAACTGCACAAGGCGTACGCTACAGTCCAAAGGTAGGTATATTAAATTACCCTTTCGTTTTTCATACACCTCAACGGTCTAATGTAAAGTGTATATTTAAAACGGTTTAGGCCAATTTTTTTTTTACAATATGACCGTAATTCGATCGTACTCTTATTTGAGGTGTAGTGAAAACAATTAGTTGATATGTTTGTGGGAGTGTGTATGGAGCAGAGGAGGATGTCTTGTCTGCGTTAGCTGAGTGTGCGTTGAGTATTTACCGTTACTTGTGCACTCTCCAGCTTACTTTGAATTAATCTATTCAAGATAGTTTTGAGAAGCATACATGCCTGTACTCTTAAGTCAGACTAACATTATAATAAACCCCTCTCATAAAAAGTTTGGAAACTCAAGTTAGATCGATTATATCTCTTTTGTCGTATGATAATTATCGCTTTGTTTAGTATCATTAAACAATACGTTTAACCCTCTTTAAAATGACGCCACATGTGTTATGACTTTGCAGCTATGGAATTAGCAACACATCAGAATAAGGGGCAGGGTCATAAGTGAAAAGTTGCAAAAGGCACTGGTAAGCACTGGTATCGCAATATGGAATTCACTACGCAAATGGGGTATCATTTTAAGGAGGAAAACATACACTCTCCAATGATACTAAACATATAGCGTCGATCAGTGTGCTCTCTATGTTCTCGTCCTCCCTAATATACCCCTGGGTGTCAACCCATATTGTGGATAAAATGATTTATCTCTTGATTGGTAGACGTGTTTTTTAAAAACCTCTTTTGTTTGTATTGCTTTTAAAGATTTCCCCGTGAAAATCATTTTAGGATACTGGTAATAGCTATCAGTCCATGTGTCCCCTTTTCCCCTCAGAATGGGGGCAAGCTTTGGTACACCGCCCCAGCTTCCCGATATTGAACTGAAAGGAAAGACGATTATAGTCACAGGTGCAAATACTGGTAAGTTAAATGCATTACTTAAAGATAAACTCCAGTACTGGTAAAAAAAAAAAAAAAAATTCTCACAGAATCAAACGAAACTTACACTGAATGTTCAAGATTACAAATAAATGACATGTGCCAAACAATTTTGGAAGAAAATGTATACTGGCTGAGTAATGAGCATAGAAAGACAAGGAAATCAAGGTAGTACTAGCCCCGACACCATGTGTGTTGTCCCATATATAGCTTTCTATATGTGAGTGCTTGTTACTTTACCAAGATTAGGTCAAATTTATTATGATTTTGAAGACTCCAGAACCTTGCAATGCACACCAATACTTACATGCTACATGATCAACTGTTTCTGATCCTTTCCACACCATTTCTTTCACAATGCAATCGCATTACCAGTACTAAAGTTTAGCTTTAAAATCACATTTTCGCATTACAGGTTGATGTTAAAACGTGTATACCATACAACGGATAAAAACCAAAAACGCTGAGAGTATACAAGGCATAGTAGTAGAATAAATAAGACGTGTATCGGGAGAAAAAAGGTTATACGCCTACCGGTATATGAAGCTTGTAATACTTACTTAAGTCGGGTTAACTGCCCGAGATGTGATGGCCTTCCACACATTCCTGTCCAGCATGGCTGCTTTTACCTCTGACAGTTCAA